AGCCCAGACTAGCATTTGTTGTTGAGAATCATCCCCACAACCAACCGACCACACATAGTTGGAACATCATCGCCCTATGTGATGGCGTGGAGGAATGTGGAGGCGCCTTCCTGCGGGTGGCATTTGGGTAATGGTAGGAGATAAAAGGCATGCAGGTTCATAAAAGTGCACTTTTAACGGACTCCCAGTGGAGTGGAAAGAGAGTGCAGCAGGCAAGCAGTAGCAGTAGCAGCAGCAGCAGTAGCACCTGTGGCAGCTGTATGATTGGTCAGTTTTTCGATGTGTGTCTTTGAAAGGCGAATAGTGTGCGAGTCTGGGTGGAGAGCAGCAGCACCAGGAGAGAGAGAGTGGGGAGGAGGAGGAGGAGGAGGAGTGGCACTAGTAGCAGTGGAGTGAAGTACGAGGTTGTCACATGAGACGTGTGAGAACTTTTAGGTTGACAATTTGGGTGGTCGTCGTGATGAGACGAGTGTCAACGTGTCAAGATGTAGTTGTTGTGAGACACACCTTGGCTGGTTTGTCAGTAGGCGTGATTGGTGTTGGATTGTCAGTGTGACTTCGCATGCGAATGTGAAGGGGCTTTTAGGGAACATTTGAAGGTCTTTGCGACTGGATGTTTGTTGCAGTTGAGTGCGTGAAGTGTGTTTGTGATGCCTTGTGATAGCTTCCATTCTACGTTGATCAGCGAATGACGAGAGGAGATGACGCAAGCGAATTGTGCCGCTCGTCGAACCCATAACACGTGCATAGCGATTGCAGTTTGAAAGTACTACTTTTTAGTATTCGTCGATCACCTTGCGATAGTTTTTGTTACTTCCTACCTAATAAGTCATCTTACTATTACCTCCTGTTATTTGTTTCGTTCCACCACTTCACTCTTGGGTTAATCCAAATTCCTTGTTTTTTTTTTCAACTCATCAATTAACTCCAAGGTCCGTTTAGCCACCTCCATGAATGCGCCTCCAGATTTTTAACTGTCGAAATTTGCTGCTTTCTCAGTTCCAAACACTCCATCCCAGTCCTTCCATTTTGCGGCGCAAACGGATTAACAGCGCTTTCTTCAATCCCCTGGCCTTGGCTACGGAGCCGACTGCGATAGTGTACATTTGTCCACGTATTTCGCCCTACCGTCTCGCCGCGGTGACGTGTCGCTTTCTGATTGGTTTAACGTCATGCAGGCAGCACATGTGGGCATTAGAAACAACCTCAGGGTAGCAATGTGATTTTATGGCTTAGCGAGATGAAATACGTGAGTAAAAGACTACCATCAGCTATTTCACCGTTTGAGAGACTAATAAACCTTCTTAGCCCTCAGTCGGATAAGTTTCCGCACAACTGAAGAAAAAAAAGCCGACCTACGGAAAAAGGCGGTCTATTGTAGTTCTTAAGCAGCCAATAACAGGAATTTTTCATCCTATTTTCAAACGTCTTTGTCAAGCGCCAATTTTACTCGCATGTGGTGTCCCGCCGTTCCTCTCCCAGTCCTAGTTGATGAAATCTGCTATTCAATTCGAGGCAATCCTAAGTGGCCGCAGAGACACATGAGAAGTCAACCTGCATCTTGAAGTGCCAAGACCACCCTCCACATATAGCTGCTTTCACGTTGTGCATGCATCGAAACAGGTGACAATGGCGGTTGTGTTACAGGGAAAAGAGGGAGGCTGATGATTAAGCATTTCCGCCAAACAATTGCGTTCAGCTTCAAAGGATTAAGGTCGCCCAAACCTAGCCTCTGGTGAATCAGTGGAAGACAGACGGAGGAGGAGGAGGATGACTGTGGTCAAGTCGGAAAGGCTGACAAAACAACAACTTAGCTAGGTTTATGTAAAGTGCACTCCTAGACAAAAAGAGCGATTTAGACTTATAACGAGCCGGTGTGTGCTTTTGCAGACAATAACAACCGTTCGTGAGTGGTGAGAAGCCTTTTTTTGAAAGGAATTTTAAAAACAGCTAAATTCCTTCATGAATGACAAAGTTATAATCTCAATTAAGGCTCAATTTTGGGGACTCAAGAGGTGAATACGTGAATTATCGAGAGAGTAAATGTTTAAGGAGGAGGAGGAGGAGGAGATAAGCAGTTCTAGAGGCCAACAAAGCATCCAAGAAGGTTCTCCTCCAAGACAAAGGTTAACAATATTAGGACTGGGAAATTAGCAATACGGTCCCCCAAGGAAAAATGAAATCCTCAAGCACTTCAAGACAATCGGTTCAATCACATTGTTGAAACTCAATCTTCCCTTAATTCCTTCACAAAGAACGACTTAACGCAGTGATACTGGATAGGCAGTAGCGCTTGGAGATTTCTAGCCAGACTTAGGCAGCTACCCCTGATCGGGAAGAACTTGCAAAGCAGGTAGTCAAGAGGTTCCCTCTAGACAGGCCCAAATTAACAGTTGCAGCAATGAAGCAGACAAGAGCCTGCAGGACTTACCAACTCCTAAGCTGAAGTCAGATAAACAACTGCGTCCTCCTTCGTGTTTACTGATAAACTCAACAAAGAACCTTAAAATTGTAGTATTTAAAAGTAGTTGGTAAAATTTGCTCATACCTCTGTGGAGTTTACGAGATTTAGAGGAGAGTAAATCTGTTCGCGTATTTTAAGTTGTTCCTCCCTCGCATACACTCAAATAAAAAACTTCAAAGGCGTGCTTTGTTCGGCAAGACGAGAGCGAAGTTGAGGCTGTTTCCAATTCAAAGGCAGTCTACGGACAAGCACCGAGGCGGCAAAAGCAGTGCACTTAGAGCCGTTCAAAAGATTCGAAAAGTAGGGAATTTTTGTTATTGATCCAGAAGTTAGAATTTTGGTTAAAAAGTACATAACAGCTGCTGAGGTGGTCGAAGAATTGACCAATCAGCATCCTCCAAAGCCTAGGGGGAGGAGGCCACATGCCGTGTTCTAATTGGTCCAATTCAAAGGAATTCTAAGTTCCAGGACGTTGACTAACTTCTACCAAATTGTCGAAATTAGCTCCTCCTCTTCTCAAAATGCAAAAGGCACCCAAACTCCACAAAATTATCCAAAAGAGGTGATAAGATTATGTCTCGCTCTGAACCGCCCATTCAACCGTCTAGATAGCGAAGTGAGAAACAAAACGGTTGATTTACTGCCTCCGAGTGTGATTTAAAAAAAAAAGTAAATAAACAAAAGCTCTACGCGCCTATTTACATAAGAAATGAAGCAGTTGAACAAAAAATTTGCCTCAAGAGTTGTCTAAACGGGATCGCCTTTCATCAGGAGTGAAGGCCTTTGAAATGGTTAAGACAAGAGCAGAGGGTCTAAAAGAAAAGTCAACCGCCAGACCGTTTCGGCTACCAGTCCAAATAAAGGTTAACAGGGTTGGGCCAGAAAGGCAAGGTAAACGCCTTTGTCAGTGATGACCTTAATTTCCATAAACATTTTGACCGTATTTAGAAGAAATCAAGGCGATTCAACAGGAAGCAGCTATTCACTCACTCACACCCGCACAGACGTTGGGCAATTGACATCAAAGAGGGGGGAGAGGAAGGGGGGGTAGTGGGGAGGATCAAGAACGAGAAGAAGCAAGAATCAAAAAGGAAATAATTTTTGCAACAAAATGACCCATTTAAAGCCTTACCCAATGGCATGGAAACCAGACCTACTTATCAGTCGGCATGAGACAACGCAAAGACTGACATAGAAAGGTTCACTCACTCGTCGTGAACGTTGTTTGGATAAATGCTTTCCAGTAAGAATGGGCTTTCCAGAGAATTCTAATCTGGAGGAGGCAAAATTCTTTGCTTTGGGAAGGAGATGTGGTGGCGACAATTCATCGCCTGGAGAGAGTGAAGTGGACGTCGACTCCTCCATCGATTCGAGGGTGGAGTTGATGGTTTTTGGACAATCCTAATAACGAGAAGAAGTGAATGTCTTGAAGGTGGCACATATTCACCTTCAATGCGGGCAGCATTTCACTGTTAAAAATGGTGTTGCCTCTAGAAGCCCGAACTTCCTGATGTCGAGAAGAGATGGATACTTACGCGCGCTACTTTAAGGCAGTTCGAAGGATGAAAATAGGGAGAGGCAATACACCTCAATAAATGACCAAATAGATTTGTCAAAGCTTCCAAGACATCCACAGATTCTGTTGCATAAAGGGATAACCTATGAATGCAATTGTTCTTCGCTTCTATTCGCTTGTGAAGAGGCTGTTTGGATGCCGATGGGGCACAAATGGATGCATCAATGAGGTATGCGACACAATAAACCGTAAGTAGAGCAATAATAAGCAATGCTGTTTCCATTTCTCTTATTGCTTAATTCATGTGATACTGCGAAAACCAACCCCTCGTAATACGTCACAATAACGTTTACATCTCGTCCCTGTGACAACGTCAACACATGTGGGTGGACCTCCACAATGCTGTTTCCAGTCTATTCACGTGACGGCAATCTCCTTCCACCTGTTTCAGTGGAAAGTGATTTTCAATGCTATCAATCTCTCCATTCGCCTACTAGACGAGGGACGAATGAGTGCTACGTCAATTTGACACAGGAAAGACTTCCATTCCACAGCCAGATCCAGCAATTCAGAGTGGAGCAACTGAAGGGAAGAGCGGAAAAGCCAACACCTCCTCCTTACACTCCATCGGATAAACATTCTTGTTGTTTTTTTATGACTTATGTGATAATTAAATACACTTGGAAGGAGAGCACTGCCTATCGATGAGAGGGGAGGAAATAAGAAAGGTGGAATTGAACTGCCAGTGGCTGAGATGGGGCTAAGGACTACCCTCAGAGGGAGTAGGGAGGGTGCATCCGTGAGGTGTCGTAGTGGCTTTGACTTCTAACTCCCCACGGCATGCCGAATGGACACAACTAGATGTGAGTGTTTGAGGAGTTGGACCAGTTGAGCAAGACGTACAAAACAAACTATAAAAAGCTATGAAATTGTATTGCAAAGGAGACAAGAGAATGCAAAGTGGAGGAGGGGAGAGAGACAAGTCAGCACAATAAATAATTCACAACCCATAAAATGTCGTCCAATAATGGGTTTAGGCATTTTCTAACAAATTCTTTTCATTCAACCGGTTATGCCTGCTTGCACAACAAAAGTGCGAATGCCATGCCAATAAACAATGAAACTATTCATCCCTACAAACAATTATGACCATGGAGATCTCTTTCCCACTCCGATGTCAGCCACACATTGAGGCGACAGCATTAGACAGCGCAACAATTTGAAGCACAAAAGAGGAGTTCGTAAAGACTGCCTCACGATGCGAGATGAAAGCAGTGACTGAACCAGCACTCAAGAGAGGAGGAATCAGTTTACCACGTATAAAGGGAGGAGACACCGCACTCCACAAATTTGCAACTGCAAAAATGCGTCTAAGTAAGCAGTCGGTAAAGAAAGCCCCAAAATGTGGTGTTAGAAGAATCGGTTAGGTTTATTGTAATAAACTTCCACCTCAGCATCAAAATCGACCATTCAATTGGCAGTATAAAAGACTTTAAACGAATGGCTTTTACAGCTCCCCATTTGAACCAACTTTGGAGGGGGCAGTGAAAACCGGTCTCCCATCTAAACACATCGCGTTTCGGCAGTAAATACGGCCAAAGTGGAAACCGTCAATGGCATTGACATTGCACACCTTGTAGAACCTGCCTTGGCAGCTGTCAAACCAACTGGAAGTGCATCTGCTTTCAACTTCACTTTCTTTCTAAATCACCTTTTTATTGTATGTTTGAGCATGGAAGTGTCTGGTGAAGAATTGTCAAAACAGGACTCCTCCTTGCATTTCAAGGCATGAATTGAAGTCCTGCCAAGAAGCAAGGCAAGAACGCCTTTTCCAGCGGGTGATTACACACGAGGATTCTTGAAGAAGGAACCTCTCCTATCACACAATCATTTCATAATGAGATGATGAAATGACCACCACGTCTCCAACATTGAGAAAGACAGAGAGAGAGAAGGAACGGAAACAAAGTGCGCCATAATCACACTTGTTGGTGCACCTTCGTCTTCCCCTTCCCAATGTGGCCTTTCATCTCCCACCAAAATAAGGAGACGCCTAGATCAACTTATTTGAAAGTGAAATATTTTGAAATGGTAGTAAAAGGCGCATCTAGATGTTGACACCCAGCAGTTCAAAAACAGTCCCTTGTCAGCCCAACATTAACAATCCATTTTGGATCATATTTACGAAATTAGCTACATTTGGAGTGATCAAAAGCTAGCGGCACCGGAGAAGAATAAATTAAAAGGTCAACAATAGCATACTTCATGCCCAAAACCACAAATAAGTGAAAAAAAAGGGTCCAAGAAAACCTTTTAAAATCCTAAAGATATGGGAAAGTCATGTGAAAGTGTCAATGTCCAACTAAACCACATGAATGCGATTATAAAGGAGGCCGGAAGTAACCAGTTTTAGGGTTGAATTGAGGCCTCCAGTAGTTCAAAAGAAGGCAAGAAAGAGCATCACTTTAAGCTATACTTGAACGTACAAAAGTAAGAGAGAAGCTATGGCAGTCAAAAAAGGATCACCTTTGCTTAAAAATACTGTTCGTGAAGTCCAGCCCAAAATTTGTGAACTTCAATGAGAGCTAGAGAGATCCTGTAAAAAGATTAATGCTTTAAGAGGCGCCACTCAACGTCGAGGCAAATGCAAAATAAAACCTCCTGAACTAACTAATGAAGTTGGCTGATAAAATCCTTCTGCATGGGCGGTCGCCATTTCCTCATTCTCCACCTCAAAGTATTTCTCCCCACCCTCATCCAACCACATTCATCAGTTTAGAGGGAATTTTAAAATTCAAAATACATCAATTCTAGTTCCTGTTCATCGATTCAGATGACCAGGTTAAGCAATCACATCAGCATGCAAATTAGTTGCACGATAAGCACAAGTGGAGCCCAAAGAGGAAAAGTAAAAACAAAAATATACTACCACCTAGTGATGACAAAGACAACTTACACTTCACAAGTAGTCAGTTAACCGTTGGTGAAATACCCAAGATGCCGTATGCAAGCCTCTCTAGATAAAATGCATGCCGATGCACGCGAAATGGAGTGAGCCAATGGTACACTCGGACGAGTCTCATTAGTGACCTTGAAACATCCAATAGCACATGAGGTCACATGATGCGATGTGGTGTGATGACGCGTCGCACCGGGTTAAGGCATGACGAGATTCAACAACCCGCCTGCCTGTGCGAAGTGTTCGCTTTCTTTATACCACATTCACTTCAACAACCTCATTTGGGTTAACACTTTGGGCTTATTTAATGGTGGGCCCCTTGTTTTCATTATTTGCCACAACAATTTGATAAAAGCCACAACTCCATTAGATGAAGATAGGAATGCGCACCAAAATAGATGGCATATGACAACGAAACAAAATACACACTTATTTTGCTCACACAGATACAAATTCGCAATGCTTACCTTGGTAATTTTTCCTAGAGAGCTATTTTGAAGGAACAAGAAACCGAAGCAGCATGAAGGCACAAGAATCTCCACTGCTCAAGCTTCCATATGACGGCTATGCTTTACTCTTTTGAATAGGCATGTTCCACTTGACGTGAATGTGATTTGCCGCACCAACTTCGTATCGCAAGTAAGCTTAAAAGCCACACTTTTAGATGTCAAAGAGACAAGCCCAGCGTGACGAAATAAAATTGTCATGGTGAGGTGGATGATGACAATAGACCCATCCCCTGTATTAGTACATGAATGGTTCTGAAGATGTTTCCAAAAATGGGTTACAAATTTTTTAAGTTATTTATTCCTGCGTGGATGTGTCAATAACCATCAGTAAAACACTCCCAGAGTAAGTGAAATCGCATTTTGGAACTCAATAGCATCGAGGCCTAAATGGAAAGCATAGAACTAAAGCGCTGTATTTTTAAATAGCCAATATGTAGTCTAATGCTACTAGCAATCTATTCATCACTTCAGTAGTACACGTAAGTATAAAGTTAGTAGTCTTTAAAAATAATGGTATTTTATTGTGAAATCGCAGTGGTTTAGAGCCTCTGAACTCAAAATCAGTAATACATATCTCCCCGCCTACTCATTTTTATTTCAGTAGACTGCGGAAGTCACTCTGATTAAGCAAGATTTCGAGGGATTTACGGTCTTCATTTTGTTGCCTTCTCGTGCCCATTACCAGTGGAAATGATTTCTTCTCTCAGAATTCGATAACAATAACTTTGAGGAAAAGAAAACGACTTAGTACTTATTTCTCTCGCTTCAGCCCTGCACCATGACAGTTGATGAAACGACAGAAAATCTACTAGTGTAGGACGTAAGATTGAAGACATTGACTATTCCGTTTAATTAGTCACCATGGTAACCAGTGCGTACATTCATTCACTCACCCTACCATCACTACGATACTCAGCCCCGTTGGTTGTAGACAGGCTCACGGTTGCCGATTTCGCCCATCGCTACTGAGTCGCCAAAGTAACTCCCAATTGTTGCCACCCGTTCCACTGGCAGTGAAGTGAAAAACCGTCTCGTGTTGTGTCTATATGGCATGAAATGGGCCACAGGAAGGGCAATTTATCAGTCAGGTCATTCAAGGCGCACTAGTATTTGTGTGGCAGTGCGTGAAGTCGCTTCTCGTGAGAGAGGAGGTCTTCTGCGCCAAACGACTTGTTAATAGTAGCTGGACTGAAGGGTGTGGCATTGCGCTGACCAAATGAGAAAGGGGAACCTTGCATGGGCGAATGCTATGAGGAGAGTTGGACGACTTAGGTGGATTTGGACGACGAACTGAATTGGGAGATGGGGAGTCCCTCTTTTGCATAGATGAGCGCTCTTCCCGTACCGTTATTCTCAGTTGCAGCAAAATACCACTTTAAGTAAACCATTGTTAATACTTTTGAACCAATCGTTTGTCGAGTTGGAGCTAATTGACCCGAAATTCTTAGTGTTACTTTGGTACAGAAGGATGGATAATACGG